AGAATTGCGAATTAGATCCACATTGGATCGAAATGTAAAATGGAAGAAACGAAATTCCTATCTACAGCCTCACTGCTTTTGAGTATTAAGATTTATTAATTCTTCTAAAAATAACAGCCAGACCTTGTTCAATGTAAACATGGACTGGCCGAATCATGAGTCTATTGACGAACGCAGTGTGAATGTTTGATTATCGTTGAAAAGGCGTTTCTTAAACTCCTACATTTGAGGGCTTCCAGTTCTACCGACAGAAGCAAAAGTTTTTTGATTCCAAGAGTGAGTCTATGAGTGATGAAGGCAGCCAGTTTCCGAGGCGTTAGAATATAAGTAAACTAATAAGCCAAGAGGTAATTACTTGTAAAGGCACGGTACTAGCAATTGGCCGGTCAATCCTGCCTGATCAAAAGGTTCCATTCATCCCAGGTTGCCCAAGGCGATATAGGATGGATAGTTGCATTTTTCCCACACTTATCCCAACAAATCTCAGCTATCCGTTTACTTTCACAATGACCTGCTTCCAAAAAATTATTCGCCTCCATACTGAACTGCAGGCTCTAACTCGCCTGGCTCTAGTCAGCAAGCCGAGCGGGACTCGAACTCGGACTGCTGTGGTGCAGTGTATAAAATGGATACGTTGCCATTAGTCCTCCGGGGTTATTGGGATTCTCTTATATGCGAGATTAGTGATGAGGGAAATGTGAGTTTTGCCTACACGTTCGGCTATGCTACTTAGAGTAGGCCTCGAAACAAGCATCAGAAAAGAGTAGATATTCCACTCGAATCACCTGGCTGTCTAGTGTCGTCACATTGCGTGCCCGTGATCCGCTTCCGACGACCAGTATCTGCTCGCCATCTTTGGACCATTCGACGGTGGCGCTCGGGCTGGCGTCCCAGTCGCAGTTGAACCGTGTGCTCAACCCGTTCACCACGGGTCGTGGGTTAGCGCCTTCCGAGCCTGTAATCATGGGAGGATCTGGTGGGGAGGGAGGCGGGAGAAAAGAGAAATGATAACAGATTCGAATCCCGTTGTGAATAGTTCAGTGAAGCCCACCTCAGCCTCAGGGCGGCTATTACCTTCTTCGTGGACGGAGGCGATTACCACACAAAGTTTCGTTTTCATCCGGACCCGCTTGTCACTTCGGGCGGGAGTCAGACTGAGAGGTTTACAAAATAAAACACTGAGGCACGCAACTCCGGCCAGCGAGGCCTACCATGCGTGGATATAAACCTGTAGCCATGGGAGCCAGCACGTCTCGAGGTCGTAACCACATCTCGTATGTGATATTATCGGTAGATATATCATCTTCAGATGATCACTTGCTCACATTACCCCTATTACGTGTTAGGAATAAACAAATATAGCAGATTTTCTGATCTACATAATTTGAAAGTTGCACAAATAGTGTATGTACACAAGTGCAGTTAGTGAAACATACATATTGTGGAAACGTTATGTCTAAATTTCCCTATCCCTCCAAGGCATCTTCCTAGAAGAATGCTCATCAATTTATCTATCTATACTTCACTTTTACCATAAAATTACTAATTAACAAAATGGTAATTGAAACTTTCAAGATTGGTTGATCCACATTTGTACGCACATGAATACATGTAAATATATATTTAAATATATATAAATATAAAAATATAAATATAAATATAAATATAAATATAAATATAAATATAAATATATATATA